ACCAATAACCAAAAGGTTGGCCGTTCAAATCCACCAGCTGCTCCTTGGAAACCCTATGGGGCAGTTCTACTCTGTCCTGTAGTGTCTCTATGAGTCAGTATTGACTCTACAGCAAAGGTTTGGGTTTTTGTTTGTTTGTTTGTTTGTTTTTATCTTACTTCAGCATTCTTGTTTGCTCCCTGGCTGCACAGATCTTTGTTCTTGTATCCTCTTTTGAACCAGCAGATTCCCTCACTAATGAGTTAATTACATTTTTGACAGTGCTCACTGTCTCTTCTGTCAATGCTTCATAGTCCTCCCCCCGTAGTCACCAATCTACACCTAGCTTGAAATGCACGCTAAACACTTGTTGTTGATTCCCTGACCCAAGTGGTAAGAGGGGAGAAGTGTTCCTCTGGAGCATAAGCAAGGCATTAAGGGGGGCTAGGGATATGTGCTCCCCAACTTTGCAGAGTAAAAGAAATCTCTATGACTGTCAGAAACATACTTTGTTGTTGTTGGGGACCATAGACTCGATTTCAACTTATAATGACCCCATGTGACAGAGTAGAACTGCCCCATGGGGTTTTCTAGGCTATAATCTTTACGGGAGCGGATCGCCAGGTATTACTCTTGAGGAGCTGCTGGGTAGGTTTGAACCGCCAACCTTTCGGTTAGTGGCCGAGAGCTTAACCGTTGAACCACAAGGCTTCCTTAGAAACATGCTAAACCTGTCAAAAGTGCACAAAGTCAACACATTACTCCAAGTAATCTCTGCCTTCACATTTTAATCATGCTGTATCTATGCTCTGGGAGCTGGGGACTCAGGCATCCTCAGAATGCCTGCTATGCCCTCAACCCCTTTGAAGAGCCTCTGTCCACATACACAGTCATACATATAGCCCCACCACCCTGGGCCTGAGGAATGAATTGTGTCTGTGCCCCTGGCCCAAGCAGCAGCCCACCTACTAGTTGGTCAGCCAGTGTGAAGGTGTTACCGGGTGGAAACCCCAGGTTCCTGCTCAGCATGACTCGTATTGACCAATAAACGAGACACCGAAGTGGGAGAACAGGAAAGGCACCTTTATTTTGTTGTACAAGGAAAAGGAGTCAGTCAGAGCTCCTGCTGCCAAGACTGCCTGCCAAGGGCGGGAAGGCAGGTTACTTTTAAAGCGGTTTACAAGTAGGGAGTTCGTACAAGTCAGCAATCTTCTTAATCATTATATGAAGGCGCAATGGGATTTACATATAACCTCCAAGCAAAAGCAAGATTCAAATGCAAAGCTGGGGAGGGCGGTGGGGAGCCCAGCAAAGCAAACGATTTTTCAATACAACACTGTGGGGGAGGAAACCAGGTAAAGAAAACATAATTTTTTAATACAGCACTGTGAGGGCTCTGTCTCAAAGGCTTGTCCGAACTGGACCAATGAGATCCTCTATCTTTCACAAGGAGATTTAGAGTGAATACTTAGTAGTAAAAGAGACGGAAATAAGGCAGGCATTTGAGGTCATGGAGTTGTTAGCTGCTGACAAGTTGGCTCCAACTCATGGTGACCTCACACACAACGGAATGAAAGGCTGCCTGGTCCTATGCTATCCCCATGACCTTTGCGAATAAGACCGTTGTGATCTATAGGGTTTTAATTGACTAATTTTCAGAAGCAGATTGCTAGGTCTTTCTTCCTAGTCTTTTTTAGTGAGTGCTTAAGTAAGCAGATGCCTTTAAAAAAGGCGTACAGAGCAGTAAGTGGGTTCACTATTTCATAGTGGCAGGAAGAGCAGGGGAAGAGTCTGAATACCCAAGCTGCCCTAACAGCAGACCATGGGGTGGCGGTGGGGATTTGGGGGCAAGAATGGATGGTCCCCTGCCGCTGATGTGGCAGGGAAATAGTCTTTTTTTTTAGAGCTGTATTTTGTCTGGAAAGACCTCTTGGTTCCTAAACAACGTCCTGGGCTCTGTCAGGCTCCAAATAGGTTCTGATGCTCCTGTTCCTCCTATGAAGCCAGGCTATGTGGCCTTTCCTGGAATGCCACTAGGCCCATCATAGTCTATGGCCTTTACTTTCTTATCCATGTGTGGCCTTAAAATAAATCCCCAATCCTTGAGGTAACCTAATAGGCCTCTGTTCCTTGCAATCAAAAGAACTTGACTCATCCTCTCACCTTTTCCAATGACTTAATAAATAATAATAGAAGAATCTTTATTACCTTATGCTCAGCCAACTCTCTCTAGGGTCATCAAAGATTTTATAGGAAAGAGGAAGTTTCCTTGGTTATAGCTGTCGTCCCCTTTGTCTCCCTCCATTCATTTATGCTTGATCATTCATTCTCTCAACAAACCATGGACTCTGAAATGATTAAGGCAAAATTCATGCTTTGAAAGAGCTCACAATCTGGCAAGTAGAAGCAGTGGGGTCAGAGGAGTCAGGTTAGAGGGCGGGGACTACACACACCCTGAGGTGGGGGCACCAGAACCTGGGGCCCTCCTCCCTCCGCGGCCTGTACTGGCAGCAGTTCTTCCTGGTTCTCCTGGGACCTCTGGCTTTCGTACCCCTGGCCTGGAACCACATGTAACAAAAGCCGTATGTTCACTCGGATTAATTAAATGACGGCCTCGGCAAATTTCTGGGGCTGCTTCTGGTGATTTTGTGTTATAATGTCTTTAATATCTATCACTGTATATTGTTTGTTATGTTTAACCCTGCGGCTCAGATTCTATTAGTCTATAAAGTTTAAATGCTAAGAGCCTTCTTGTACTGATTTTTAAAAGTAAGGACTATTTTTTATTTATTCCGTCAGAACATATCTTCTTTCCTCCAGGTTGGACCTGAGAGGGTACTTAGTCCTGATTTTTCTGAAAGATGACTTAATCTTAACTGACTTTAGGAAATGGGGCAAGGAAAGGTGCTGGAAACCCAAAGTCCTGATACTTGGCTCTCAGCCTCAATCTGCAAAGAAAATTAAATTCCCAATCCAGTTTCTAAACCCAGGTATGCAGGCACCCAGGATGGCAGGGAGAAGGGAAAAGGAGGTGCTTTTATCTGGGGACAGGCATCTCAGGCCCAGCCCGGCTCTTACTCTTCCCAGGTCCTGCCCCTGAGCAGGTGGACAAGACAGGTAATGTTTGGCCATGGAACATGTGTATAAGTGAATCCAACTGTGTTTTCTAGACTGCGGAGCTTTGCAGCATGCTGGTGCCCTGGGCCCATTTTCCTGTTCTCCCACAATGACCAGCGCCAGTGCTGGTGACATATGGCAGGCTGGTCATTTTTATTCAGGGTGGAGGGCACAGTGATGAAGAGTTCCTATGACCTTGTGCAAGCCCCCTAAACTGGTGGTCTAAGTCTGAGCTTCCTCTACATTGCAGATAAGGACACCTGCTTCATAAGGTGGTGGTGAGATGAGATGAGGGGGCCAAGGGCCCGCTGTGCTCACCGTTGGTAACTGTGTATGCTTACTTTGGGGGAGGGGGAGGGGGAG